ACCAGAGGCTGCTGGTCCAGGCCTGGGCTTACTCCGCATGTCCTCTCAGATGCCAGCCCCTGGCCCTGGGGACCTGCCTGGGGAGGGCGCAGCCATTGCTGCTGGAGCCAATGGCAGGGCCGTGCCCCCACATCCGGCTGTGCTTGGCCACCCCTACCTGTGGTCAAGGCCACTTCTGCTTCTGGCTGATGCTTCCCTCCTGCTGGGACGTGCTGCACTGGCTCCAGCAGCCCTAGAGTTGCTCTGTGCAACACTCTCAGGATGGGCGAGAGCATAACGTACGCTGAGCTGTGGTTTTCCAATGCCCCCCCGGAACAAAGTGTGACATGCAGGGCACAAGGGACAGGTAGGAGACAGCATCCCTCTCCCACCCAGCCCTGCCCCAGCCCCACATCCTGACCAGCCCCTGTGTCTGCAGCCCCACCAGCCCCAGATGAGGCCAAGGACATCTATGAGACCCTTCAGCTGGGCCCGGTGACTGAGGGGCCAGTCGGGCCTGGGACCCAGCGGTGCAGAGGTGAGTGCAAGGGCATCCCCTGCCCTGCCCTGCCCAGGGCTCCCCAACAGGGATGGAGAGAGCTCCCAGGGGTGCACAGCTGGCTCGGATGAGATGCCAGAGGGGACAGGTAATGGAGGTGCTGTCCTGCCCAGGGCTGAGGGGTGGCTCTGCTTGCTGTTCCCTGGCTGCAGGGTAGAGCAGGGGTGTGTGGCTGCCCCAGGCTCTAGGGTTTTGCTGGTGCACACACGGGCCAGGGAGGTGCTTCCCCCTCCCCAGGTGCTGCAGGCATCAGGGTTTCCTTTGCCGCCCTCAGAGGTGCTGGGTGCTGGCTGCAGAGAGGTGTGTGGGTCTCAGCACAGGCAGGGCCAGAGGCACCGTGCACACTCGCCTGTTCAGACACGCTCATGCACTGGTTCACTGACAGCAGCTTCCTATGTGTGATGCTGCCACCTTCTCTGCAGCCCAGGCTGGGGCTAAGGACTGGGCTGTGCCAATTCTCCTGCTGAGACCAGCCTGCAGGGTCTTGCCCCTGTGCTCAGGCTCAGCCCGAGGATGCAGTGGGGGCAGGAAGGGCTGGGGCAGGTGTTGGGGGGGTGGGATCTTATTACCCCCCAGCCCCTTCCTGCCCTTGCAGAGGCGATCACTGGCAGAGCTGCGGGAGGTGTCCCAGGCCTGGGCTGAACCAGCACAGCTTCCCATATGCTTTTGGGCCCCCGCATGTCTGGTCATCCCCCACCAGGCCTGTCTGTACTGGGAGGTGAGGGCCATGGCTGCCGGAGCCAATGGCAGGGCTGTGCCCCACATCGGCCATGCTTGGCCGCCCCACCTGTGCTCAAGGCCAGAGGTGTGGCGGCCTGTGGGTGCTGGGGCTGGTCCCACGGCCCCTTGTTTCTTGCAGAGCATCGGTGGAGCGCGCGTCCCCTGCTCCTGGTCCTGTTGGCAGCCTGCCTGGCCCTGCTGGCCACCACCATCGCCCTGGGGGTCTGCTGTGAGTAGGGGTCTGCCCACTGGTAGGGAATGCAGACATGTGGGGGGAGACAGGCATGGGGGGACAGCGAGGGGGACATGTGTGATCTTGGTCCTGGGGCTGCCCCTGCATGAGGGCAGTGTAGTTAGGGGCAGAGGCAGGTCCCTGAGCCAAGGAGCCAGAGTGA